CGATCAGAAGACAAAGGGGTTCGGAACGGAACAGCGTGGCCAGGAAAGGGGCCTTCCTCCGATCGGAGGAACCACTATATAAACCCCTTAAGACCTGGCCAATTCCGACCCTCTTCCTTTTCTTCTTCACTCGAGCCTAAACTACAACTTAGGCGTACTAATTGATGACTATTCTCAACCTTTGTAACCTTAACCGTAACAACACTTCACCTCTGCAAATCAAAATTTTTGGAAAACAGCATACAGTCTTTACTGGGAATTTGCGCTTTAACTTGTTATGTTTATTCATGGTATAGATAGAGTTCAATAGCAATAGATCATACATGTTTGGATCGATCTCGCTTCTTCTCTTTTAGATTAGGTTTTCCTTTACTTTTAAATGTATGACGCGTTGATGTCATCTTTGATGAGAATGTCTATTTGTACTATGACCCTTTGACCTGTTATACTATGACCTGTCAGAAACGATTGCACACTGGAAACTTGGGGGGGGGCAACTGCTTGATTGAATTGCTTGTCCTCCCTCTCTGGCGAAGCCAGAGATGGAGTATTATACTTGGAAACTCTGAACAGTGGTGTGATATTGTCATGCTTGCACCGGCAATGCAACCTTCACCGACGCTGCCAAGCCTGCAAGCTTCGTGTCCCACTCCATTACTTGCTGACTAAGCCGTATCTCGATGACTACGCAGCCCCTGAGCCCCTACCCCGTGTGGATCGAGTGTATCGCCCTGTCTTCGTGATGCCTGCTGTTTCCGATGCCCTCTGGGTTCCAGACGCTCTTCTGGGGCCTCCTACAGGATTGCCACTATTCCCAACCCTGTTGGCAACGGTTCTGGGGGCTCTAGGGCCTCCTCTTGAGGCGTTGCTGGACGATGGGACTGCCTGACCACTACCTACAGCCGTCATCTGGCTCCCCTCCAACACCACGCCCTCCCACTGCGATGGGATGCGTTGGATAGACGCCTTGACTGTACCCCTTCGTGCTCCTGAAGCTCCGCGCCCTCCTGAAGCTCGTACTGACTTCCCGATTCGAGATGCCAACGTGGTCGGTGAACTGAGCGATAAAAGCCTTGTGCTCAGGCTTCAAACGAGGGCGAGAATTGAATCCATCTCCTTCGTGGTTTTCGTGGTGTGAGCAGTTGCCGGCAGTCTTGACCTTGAAGGTCTGCGGTCGATGGCGTTCGTCGATGGGTCGATCGCGTTCGAGAGTTCCTCAAAGTTTGGTTCTGGTGGATGAAGATTTGGGATATCTGTTTTCCAGGCAAGGAAGCTCCGTCACCTTGGGTCACTGAAGGCGTGGGCCTGGAGTTGACGAAGCTTCGGGACTGGTTTGTGGCTGAGGGACGGACGTGTGTGGAGGGCTTTCTAGAGGGGAAGGGGGAGTGGGATAGGGAGGTTGTTAATACATGCCACTTCTCATGCAAATCTATCCCGCGACCAACACCGCAAAGCTATCATGGGTATAAATCTAACAACCAACACAACAGACCATTGTGCTCAAAGCAAATACTCCCATATCCTTTTCCCACCAGTTACTCAGCCACGGTCTGCTCGACCTGAGGTGTTCACTCCGCCCCCAAGGCCAGACTCAACACCATGCTCATTCACGATCGCTTCGTTGCTGCCGCTCGCGTTTCCATCCGTCCGAGACTCGAGAATTTTCTCCTCGTCCCTCGAGTTCCTTCCCGCGCTCGTTCGAGACGTAGTGTCGATCAATCCGTACCGCTGAGCGTATCCCTCGATCTCTGAAGGTTGCAGGTGCGGGAGCTCCTCCGCAGCCTTGACATATGATATGCGCTCGGCATAACCCTTGGCAAAGATGATATCAATCTCCTCCAGGGAGCGCCTCGCCGTCTCGGGGTAGAAGAAATAGATGACTGGGAGAAAACAGGCGTTGCAGGCTGCGAAGAAGAGATATGTTCCCCAGCCGATATTGGTTACCATGATCGGTACGACCATGACGACGAGGAAGTTGAAAAGCCAGTTGGTGCAAGTGCTGACGGCGTTGGCCTTGGCGCGGGTCTTGATGGGGTTGACCTCGGCAGGGTAGAGCCACGGCAGAGGGAGCCAGGTGGCACCAAAGCTGGCGATGTAGATGAAAAAGCCAACGACGGCTCCTTTTGCAACCTGGTTGTCATCGGGGATGAGACAAGCAAAGGCGATGATCATAGCAACCATCTGACCAACAGTCCCGTACAGGAACAGTCGGCGCCGTCCGATGCGCTCAATGAAAAACCAGGAGAAGGTGGCGAAGATTGCATAGACAATCATGTTGACACCGCCAATGAGCAAGCTCATGTTTCGCGTAAGACCTATGCTTTCAAGAAGCAAAGGCAGAAAATAGATGACGGCGTTACAACCTTAGAAGAGAAACGGGTCAGTGAGTTTCGATTATTGGTCAGGGTTTGAAGATTCATACCTCCGATCTGTTGCATCAACTGAGAGCTTGCGCCCAACATCATGCGACGGAAGTGTTGAGTCTTTCCGTTGGTAAACAGAAACTTAACTGGAGTGCTCTTTTGACCATATCCTCCCGATGCGCGGAGGGAGTCGATGATGAGATTGCGTTCCAGCGCTGTGTTCTCACTCGTCAACTCGTAGCCCCGAAGGGCAGAAATGACTTTATCGGCCTCTTCAACCCGCCCATGACTGAGAAGCCATCGTGGAGACTCGGGGAGGAAAATCATGGGGATGATGATGATCAGGGCGAAGATGACCTGGAAGGCAATCGGGAAGCGCCATGTGAGGTCATCTGGCCCGAACGATGCGCCGTAGTCGATCCAGTAGGCAATCAAAGTTCCAAAGGCGATGACTCCTCCTTCAATGCAGATGAGCAGACCGCGGTTGGAGGTCTTGGAGCACTCGGCTTGGTACGTCGGAATTGTGGACGTGTTGATGCCATTCCCCGCTCCCATGACCACCCTGCCGACGATGAACTGCGCCAAAGGTGTCGAGCCTACCATGGATGTTACTTGAATGATGACGCCAGCCAACATAATGAGAGCGCCCAAGATGATCGCCCTTCGCCTGCCCAGCAAATCGCCAACGGCGAGGATGAACATGGCGCCAAACAAGCAACCGATTTCGTAGATGGCTGTCACCGTGCCCTGCATGGTGGAGTTGTCTCGGGTGGCCTCAAACACATCGTTAAAGGGGTGGGCAGTGATGATGCCACTCATGACACTGTAGACGACGTTAGCGTAATTCTGTGGAATATTGATGTTGGCACATCGGCACTGCTGTGGAGAGGAACACCAACCCTTGGTCGTATCCGAACAGCAAGAATCCCGTCGTTGCCACGGTCGAGACGGCCAGGGAGAGGGGCCGGCCCGCGAGGCCCATGAATTTGGGACTGTTGGATGCCATCTTCGCTGGGTGTGCTTCGTTGCGCCGGGAGTCTCTTCGAGTTGGGAAAACGGTGGCATCCCTTTCTTTATACGACAGTTCGGTCCAGGGTCCCGGAGGCCGGCACCATGGCCGTCAGACGTGGGACGGATGGGGACGGCGTGGTGCGCCGGTGCTAGCCATGGGCCATGATGGAGATTCTGTGGGATGCGAGCGCATCCTATCTCGCCTGTGAGGCATGACGCAGGCCCTCTCGTTGGTCGAGTTCCAGGGTCCACGGAGACCCCATTCTCCGCACAGAAAAGTCGGTCAGATACACAAGCAGGGAACACGCCGCTGGCCGTTGTCGGCTCCAAATGGGGGCTCCCGTCGCACCGTGTGGCAAGCGGCTGTCTGACGTTCTCGGTCGAGGGGGAGATCGCCAGCCGGCGAACTTCAAGCTTGAATTGATGCCGCCGACTGAAGGAGCGAACGTGCTTCGGCCACGCCAAGTGGAGTCCTGATGTCACACCCCAATCCACCTCGAGATTTTCCCTCGGCTTGCCATCTGCAGATCCCACCACTGAAACGTTGAGGAATTGAAAAAATGAGTTGCAAGCAAAATGTGTTTGCCAAATGATTTGCCCCGGACCCCTTTGATTACAAAACTTGAACCTTTTGGCCCACCACATTTAAATTCAGAGTTCCTGGGGATCTTGGCGCTAGTGCCCCAGTGTGCCAATGCCTTGGATTTTGACGTCGGTTCGTTTTCTGCCGAGTCGAGGATGGACACTGGCATGACGGCGCCACAGATCGTCAGGCCCTCCAGCTTCTACGAAATACACACTTACGAGAGGGGAGCATGTGAAAAGATGCGAGACATCCAACCCTCTGAAGCCCATGCAACAACAAGCTTCACGAGATGCACGCAGTATATTGTTGAATGGATGGGAGTGCTGTTTCTTTTTGCCCTTGATTAAAAGGTTTGCAATCCAAGACAAAAGCACAAGACGATGAAGAAAAAGGGGGCCCTAGTAAACAAACACCGCGTGCCCCCTGAACAGTGCCAAGATGGACAACCCTCCATTCAGGAGCCAATCCACCCCCCAGATTGTGCCAATGAGTATCGATGTCAGTCTTTCCCTTCAGAATGGAGCATTGCATGAGATATGTTGATATTTCTGTGCGCGTGTAAAAAAGAGATCCCTCTCCCAACCGCTCGCAGTGAATGCCATGGAGTGTCAACAGCGGAGACCTGCAGGCTGGGGCCCACTGTGGGGCGCCACTCGGCTCCGAGTGACCCTCACCTCGGAAGGACAGAGGCAGCAAAGCACTTCCATTCACCCCCTGTGTCAAGAAAAAAAAAAGAAGTAGGTTAAAAAAGCCGAATTACTGAAAGGTGCTCAAACACACCCAACGGAACTGAATCCACACGCCTTCCAAAATGATGATACCATTCGCCCCGGTCCATGAGTCCTGCGGGATTTGGGGTTTTGACTGAGATCCCGGGCGGCCCAGGGTCATCACGTTTCCAGGGGCTGACAACCACAAGACTCCGTCTCCGAACCCACGTTCTCCGGCATCAACTCCACACACACTCCGTCCCATCGCAGGCTGAACTTTCCACACATGAGGGTAAAAGGAGAGCGACACCATGGCCAAAAAATAATGCTTGGACGAGTTGGGAATCGAACCCAAGACCTTTCGCAGTACAATGAAGTATGCGAAGCGAACGCTCTACCAACTGAGCTACACGCCCTAAACGTGATGTGGAGACAACGTGGCCGAAGCCATCGTGGACGAGCTGGGAATCGAACCCAGGACCTTTCGCATACCGGTGAGTATGCTAAGCGAACGCTCTACCAACTGAGCCACACGCCCGATTGTCTTGTTGTTGGTGAGCTCGGCCGTTCAAGTGCCTTTCGGAGATCGCGTCGATGTCGGCTTTAGAAGACGGAACGTAGAGGTTGCACAGGGGAACTGGAAATGAGAAGAAATTTGCAGTTGAGGAAAGCGCCCCTGAGAGTTGGATGGGACTGGATGCTGTGTATCGAGTCACCCGCTTTGCGGAACAGTTGGCAGTGAGGATGTGCTCGACAACTTCAGATCCAAAAAAAAAAAAAAAATTAAAAAAAAAATGTTGCTTGGTCTTTGCGCAGAAAGCCATGAAAAGGACCAGGCTTTGTTTGTCCGGTAGAGTCATTGACGAGAGGCAATTCTTTCTCATCTTGTGCTTGTTGTGTGCAGCGCGCCGTGTTGTGTTTCTTGTTTGAAGGGGGAAGGAACACTCAGGAGCCTCCTTCCGCGTCACCCCCACGGAAAATATGTCAAGCGTGTGCCAGAGCCCTCCCCTCACCGCCCAGTCGAAAACATCAAGACCTAGACGTATTTCAAGCCCCTAGACATCCAACAAAAACTCTAAGCCTGCCTCTCCTAGTGCCCCATTTGGAACGAAAAGTCTAACATTTTGAGGCCCAAAGAGATCGAGGACCGCAGAAATGAAAACCGACACATCGACAACGTGAGTTGATCCCGTCGCGTTGCTCTGGTTTTGCACAGATATTCTGACCCGCAGTATCGCAGTTGCGAGTCCTACGACTACGGCCAGTCTATCTTCGTCGTTCGATAAAGAGATTTTGAAAGGTCTTCGTGATGAGAACGGAAACAAGTTGGGAGAGCAGGATCAACCGGTGCCTGGCAGACTCGTCCACCACTTTGGGCCTTTCTCATCGTCAGAGAATGGATACCAAGAGCTGGTTCAAAACGTCTTCGACTTGTAGGAAGAGATCAAGGGCGCTGGGAAATTCAACATGATTCAGCCGCGCCCAAGACAACCCAACTTGGTGGACCATCGAGAGTCTCTAGGCACAGTCCGCTCGCTACGCGCTACACGTCCTCGTTCCTTCGATCCACGATCCGAATCTGTCGCACAATAACATCCAACTGCCTCTGCAGCTGAGTCCAGGCCATGAAGCGAACTGGGTCGAAAACTGCCAGCGAGGTAGCACCCGGAATTTGCAGTGCTGGGTTCGATTCGAGGAGAGCACCCAGCGCGAGCATCATCTTGTCAGATGGGTGGCGTGCCAAAACCAACGAGACTGTTTCCTCCCGCGGTTTGAGGGTCTTGTCGTGTGCCAGAAGCATCCTGATCAGCTTGTGGGCGACGTCAGGGTGCCAGCTCGCTGCGGTACACAACGACTCATAGCGGACCGGCGCGGAGACATTTCGTTCCAAGATGAATTGAAGATCCGAGGGAGACTTTGAGGCCGCCGATATCATGGCGGTTGTCACACGTAACTCTGGGTTTCGTTCCCAAAGAAGCCCGAGAACGTCTTTGCTCGCCCGCATCGGTGGCGACGGAGAGGGGGTTCTCAGCACCGCCAATACCACGGCCTCGGTGATAGAGAAGTTCTCGTCGTGGTCGAGAAGCAGGCCGATTGCCGCCCGTTCCCTTTGGACCCCTATGACGCCAAGCGTCAGCTTGCAAATCGGCCGAATCCTGAGCAGCGTCTGCACAACAGTGGCTCGACTGGCAAGTTTCAGCATCTTCTCCGTTACACCAAGATCTCGATTCCTGACCACCAAACCACCGATGGATTTTGCTGGGACTCCAGGTTCTCGAAGCAGCGTCCGAATCGTGTCTTCCGATGGGATCACGTTTTCGTCTAGCTTCAACAGCCAGTCGAGCACATCGTGATGCCGGAACAGTCTTGCGGCTATGAGAATATCCTCGTCTCGAACTCGCGGTATGACCTTGGACTCTGCAAGAAGCGATAGCAGTGGTCGATTGTTGGACTTCAAGGCCAACGAAAGGGGTGTTTCGCCGCTCTGGGTTTCGATGTTGGGGTCTGCGCCATGCGAGAGCAGCGCCCGAGCGGACTCAATGTCATCTTTCCCGCATGCTCGGCACAACGGGGTCCCGAACTCCTGATGACAGCGATTCGCCTCTGCCCCCCGCTCAAGAAGGAGTTTCATGATCTCAGTTCGTCGTCCTTCCACAGCTGCGAAGAGGGCTGTCTCGAAGTATCCACCAGTCGCGTCGACACCGCCTCCCCTCTCCAGGATCAACTTGACGAGAAGTTCGCTCCCAATAAAAGAGGCGATATGTAATGGAAGACCGAAGTCCTTGTCCTCCGTGTCGATGGGCGACCCCGAAGCGAGTAGGATTTGCACAACCTGTTCACACAGCGCTACCTGGGTGGGTTTGAGATCAAGCCGTCCGTCATGATAGCAGACAAGTTTCGACTCGTCCTGGTGTGACGGCAGTCTCGCTATCAACGCTACAGCGTATCTCGACGAAAGTCTTCTCAATAGCGGTGCTGCACAGCCCGTCATGGCGGCAAGAAGAGGTCCTTCGTGTCCTCTCCGGATACGACCCGCCCTGGCCCCTCGATCGAGAAGAAGTTGAACAATGGCCGGGTGAAATGGGCTGATGCTGTGCAGAGGGCATCATCTCTGTCTTTGAGGCTGGTTCCTGCATCGAGTAGACGCTCAACTCCGAGTTTTGAACCGAAGACACAGGCAGAATGCAGATGCTTCTGGGAAGGCGGCACACAACGCAGCAGCCGAAGAAAATTATCTTCATCTCTCTGCTGTGTAGCAACCTTCAAAGCTTGGTCAACTGCTCGATCTACATCATCCTCGCCAGTCAGATGTTCCAGGAGCAAGTCAACAATCTCGCCCTTTCTTCCCGAGCAAGCAGCAGCCAAGGAGTTGGGGAGTCGCCCAGGTGTAAATATCGTGGCGCCACATGCCAGCAACTCCTGGACAGTCCGGGTATGGCCGTGGAGAGCTGCTTCAGACAGTGGACTTCGGATCGGGTTTCCATCGTTGACATCAACTCCAGCGGCGAGCAGCAAGCGAACCAAGTCGAGATTGCCGCAGGCTGCTGCTATTTGCAGTGGTGTGGTATGAAAGTATGCCATGGTCGCAAGGTCGAGTTCGCATACTGTCACTTGTCTGAGAACACACATCACTTCAGAGGGAGCTACCCTCTCTCCCTGACTGGGAGCTCTCAGCAGTTATACCATCAAGAAGTTTCACGGCATGGTCTTGGCAAGCTAACCAGCTTCGACGTTGACTCTATTCCCCATTGAGAAATTTGAGTAGGGGGAATCGCATCCGTTTGGTCAACGCCTACTGCAGTAGCACTCATGGCCCGAGATAACTACCCCCCTTCTCCAAGTTGGTCTAAGCGAACTCAATAGTGGCATCCCTGTTCCGCGTCTCGTGGTTGCATCCAGTACGGGCGGGCGCTACGCACACAAAAGTCGAGTCCGAGGTGAAGTCCGAGGACAGGTCTTGCCTTTGTCTTTTTGGCTAGCACGGGTTTCAGGCTTCTCTGAGAAGCGGCTTCATGAGAAATTCAACAAGAATTATTCCAGCCAAAGCTCGGATGATTACCTACTTGGATCTTTGACCGGCGCTATAGTGCACAAGAGATTCTACACTTCATCAATCGAGCTCGTCGCCATCCTCCTCGTCCTCCGAACTACCCTTCGGCTTCTTCTTCAATCTTCTGTGGTCAACTTCTTGTGACCTATCCCGCTTCCTACCAGACATACCCCAATCGCGGCCGTCCGAGTTTTTGGCCAAGTCGGGCGATAAATACGCATCGTTGGCGTCGCTAATCTCGATGGACGGACGCTTCATGGGGCGGTGGTGTGGGTGGTGTCTCGGTGACACGGGAGGAGCCATCCGCGACGAGCCTGCTCTTGAATCGGCACTTCCATGGTGGAATATGCTGCTGGTCCCCCTTGACGACGGACCTGCCATGTTGGGGCTCATGGAACGTCGCGCCGGGTCAATGGAGCTAGGTCGGCGCCTTCGACCTCCCTCAACCCCGCGAAATCCAGGTCGTGAGGTGCGAGGCTCGTCATACCAGTTGAGGCTCTCCTTTCGCTCTTCGATCTCATGGCCGCTATCATCATCGTCGTCATGGAACTGCTGATGTCTGCTGACAAAGTGATCGGCGCGATCCCCACGTTCAAAGGCCTGCTCGCCGCTCGTCTTGCCAATCGTTTCATGCACGTACTCCTCAAAATCTTCGGTGACGATATGAATCGTTTTGAAGTGGTCGACTCTCAGGGCGGGCGGCGCACCATCGCGACGAGCTTCATAGTGAGCCAAAGAGGAGGCCACCTGAAAGGCGTTGCGAATTTGCCGGCCGTTCCAGACGGTCCCTTTCTTCTCCTGGGCTGAGAAGATTTCATCGGCAAATCGCTTGATGCCCTTCTTGGCGATGCGCAACGGTTGCGCGTTGGGGTTTCTGGCGCATCTTTCCCGTTCGATCTTTTCGAGCCGGTCAATATTCATCTCCCAGATCTCTTTCGTTTGGTCGGCACTGAGTCGTGGATAGTGCAGTTTCAGGTGGATGCGCGAACTGAAGGCCTCGTCAAGCGCACCGGGGCGGTTGGTGGTCAAGAAGAGAAGACCGTCATAATACTCCAGCACTCGGAGGAAAACGGAGACCAAAGCATTTCTGGCGAGCGCGGCATCGCCTTTGGCCCGCTGCGAGAAGAAGGTGTCGACTTCGTCCAGGAGGAGCACGCAGTTCCACGTGTCAGCAAGCCTGAAGATGCGCAAGAGGGCGGCCTCGACAGATTCAGGCGTCAACCCCAAGTCGCCACAGGTGATTGGGAACAGCGGCTTCCCGTTCGCGGCAGCGATGGCCTCGGCGGTCGCTGTCTTCCCGACCCCGGGAACGCCATGGAGCAAGATAATGAGGCCCTTGCCCTTGCCCCGAATCAAATCGATGCT